CGCATAGAGCACTCTACAAATTGCACTTTTGCACTGTTAATTAAATGATTCAACAGCATTTATACTTTAAGTAATAGAATAACAATCAGTTCATCTTTCTTATCTCTACATAGTATATAATAAAGTCCTTTCCGCCGTCTGTATCCTTAGATATTTCAAGGGTACACAAGCGAAGAGCGGAACTAAGACTCCAAAGTCTTTGCCAGAGATCTGTCTGCCAGAAAGAGCCAACTATCAGAGCTGAAGACTGAATGTAGCAGCATCGTTTCCGGAACACCTGAGATTTTGAGTGTGATTGAGAAGTTCTAAGGATCTCGTTGGAGCCACCCGCAAGTGTGAGTAACGATCCAAGAGCAAGTCTTATCCGACACAATTCTGATGATATCCTGGACGTCAGTCTGAGCTAGATTAGAATGACTCTCCAGCACCATAAAAATAGCAAGTCCCCAGGCTGAATGGAATTACAGCGGAGCTTCTGAAATCAGGTGAAAAACCAGTACTTGGAGTCCTCCAGGTCTTTAATTCCATCTTCCATGGTGGTACTACTCCGGAGGCGTGGAGTATGGTGGTCTTATTCTTTAAGAAAAGCGACAACGCTCTCTTGAGGAATTACAGGTCGATTTCCCCTCTGAGCCGCATCTACGTGCTGTTTTCGAGAATCATTACGAATCGTCTCGCACGCATATTCGACGACTTCAAGCCTACTGCACAAGCCAGTTTCTAGAAAAGCTTTAGCTTCGACAAATTGTACAGAAGACCGAAGAGTACAATCTGCCAATTTGTCTTCGGTTTGTGGTCGATGAGAAAACCTTTAATTCCGTAAAAATTTGGGCGGTTCTGAAGTCCCTTTAGCGGTGCTAAGTTGACTGTCGACATGTCGGTATATCGAAGTGCTGAAGTGTTTGTACAGTAGGGCTACGATGACTATCCGAGTACAGAACCAGAGTACGAAACTTATCCAACTGCAGAGAGGTGTAAGACACCGTGACGTAATATCCCCGAAGCTCGTCATCGCTGCATTGGAAGACGTTTTCAATGTACTGGACTAGAAAGGGTACGGTATTAACATCAATGGCAAGTACATCAATCATCTTCGATTTGTCGACAAATAGTCATTATGACAGAATCGCTGGAGGACCAAATCACTATCCAACGTCTTAAAATGAACATGCACAAAACAAAGATCATGTGACGTCCATGTCACATCTATGCCGGTATTTGTTCGGATCACTAAGCTCGAAGTTGTTGACGAGTATGTTTGTTTGCTTTGGACAAATAGTCCGACAAGGTAAGTCCAACTTCGACCGAGAGGTCAATCGACGGATTCAACTCGACTGGGCAGCGTTTGAGAGATTACGACACATCTTCTCGTCAGGTATACCTCAAAAGTTGTAAAGACTGTACAACCAGTGCGTGTTGCCAGTGGTGACCTATAGATCTGATACGTGATCCTTCACTGCTGACTGTACGAGGGACTTAAATGTCGCTTAACCAGCTATGGAGAGGGCTATGCTCGAGGTTGCTCTGCGTGATAAACTTAAAAACGATGATATCCGCAGTAGAACCAGAGTAAATGGCATGGCCCAACGGATTAGTAAGCTAAATGGCAATGGGCCGACCATATAGTACGAAGAACCGAAAACCGATGGGGAAGGAAAAAGGTTCTCGAGTGGCAACCTCGTACCGGTGGGCATGGTGTGGTGCGGCCTCCCACTAGATGGAGTGACAACATGGTAAGACATGCAGGAAGTTGATAGATGCAGGTGGCTCAGGGCTGTCGTTATGGCGTTCGTTAGGGAAGGTCTATGTTCAGCAGTGGACTTGTGAAGGGCTGTAATGATGATGATGATGATGCTGATGAGATACTTTTTTGATATTCGTACATAAAATTATTGAAATCTGCATCATTTTTAAATACATTATCGTGTAATATTTTTGGTTTAAAATGGGTATAAATAATGACATAATTTACTGGAATTTGTAAATTGTTGGTAGTGAATACTGATATTGATAAAAAACTTTAATAAAGAATGTCTATGTCTCAACACAATTCGGAACGGGTGTATGTATTTTGAATATGACACATGATAACAATCTTTATATATAAAAATTACGTGTCACGTTGTTTGTCCGCGATAAACTCCTAAACTACTGAACTGATTTCAATGAAATTTTGCACAGTGTGTGCAGTTTGGTCCAACTTGAGAGATAGGATAGTTTTTATCCCGATAAGTGACCCTCAATTTTTTATTGCTAATCCCAGGAGTTTTTTTTGGGAAAGCAAATGGTCGTCGGAAAAGGCAGAACAACGTCTGCCTGGTCAGCTAGTTAATAGTTAGTTAGTAGTAATAGTAATAGCTAACTATAATATAAAACGTGTTTATAGTTTAACGTATTAGATTATGAAAATCGGTAAAAGTTATAAATTAAGAATATTAAAAGGTCAATAATAATATCTTATTGGAGTCTTATAGTATATTATATTATATATTATATATAGTACATTATATATAGGTATATTATTCTCACTCATATGTTAGTTAAGTAAAGAAAGAAACTTTCAATAAGAATTACATGTAATCTATATTCAATAAAAAATTTATATTACTTAATTATTCTCACTTTCTTTCTTCTACATGGTTGTTGCCGTTTTTCCATTCCGTTGACACCTCTATTGATTTGCCATTAGCGAAACAAAAAACGTGGACTATAAATACGTTTAGTCTATGGTTTAAAATTCAGGGTTTTTGTTAATCCGGTTCGTAATATTTATTTATATCATTGAACTTTAATAGAAGCTTCATCTGACATTCTACATCAAAAGCGTAGTGGAATAATTAGGAATTCAAAAAGTTTAAAGTGGTAATTTAAAAAACAATATATCGTAAAAAGTTCACTATGATGATCTACTGATCTGCTTAAATTCAGGCGGTATATTTCTGCCAAATTATCCCCAGACTTATTATGGGTTTCACAGGAATAATAACTGTAAACATGTAACCAAGTACCAATTTTAAATACTTTGTGTTTGTCTTATCGACACCGGGTTTGCTTCACGAAACATACACAGAGGGCACTGCTACGAATACTAATAACCGAGGCACGACCGAGGTCTGCCTCCACTTTTCTCTCTCCATCGCAACTACCAATAAATCGATTAACTTCTCCTCTCTGATCCATCGAGATATTATCCAACATTCATTCATTAGTTGCAGCCTATCAAAAATCCACTACTGAACATTGTTTTTTTTCCATAGATTTCCTCATAGGGCGAATAATTCCCTCTCTTAACAAGTGGGTTGGCAACCATAATTTTTTATCATTTTGCTTTGTTATCAGAAAGACACTACTAACTATCTCTTGTTTCATTCCCCTCTATCGCCTTTTACGATACTCACGGGATGGTACGGTAGGAGGTATTGGATTCTCTTATGTCGTCGCGCTATGCGGTTGCCAATCCACTTGCCAAGCGTGGCAACTATGGCATATATCCCCCTATGAGGCAATCTATGGTTCAGCAGTGGACTTTAATAGGCTGTAACGGTAATGGTAATTATACATTTCAAAAACAACTGTTTAAATGAATGAGTAATACATATATTTGTATGGCAGTGTATGTTTAAAAATAACTTTGTGTTTAGTTCAAAAATGATAAAAATGTATGTTTTTATGTAAAAAAAATGTTTTTGTATATAGTATATATATATTTGAATGAGAACAGTGGCGTAGCGTACCTTAGACGGGCCCTGTATCAAAATTTATTGCGGGCCCCAAATAAAGAGTAAAGATTTTTCAGAAAAGCAACAAAAACACTTGCATTGAAATAAATAATTAATCAATTTATCGGGGGCAGATTTTTCACAAAAAGAGCAAAAACGCTCGCATTGAATAAAATAATGATTTATATTGAATTCGTGTCCCATAGAAGTCCTTAGAATTTTTGATTATACATGTTCGGGGCCCCTGTAGCCCGGGGGCCCCGTATCTGATACGACTGATACGGCGGTAGCTACGCCCCTGAATGAGAATTGAATGAGGGCCCACTTGAACATTTGGGTGCGCTTTTAATTTGTACGTAGCTTTATGAATACAACTTTAGACAATGCGTTTAAGGTTGACTTTACATTAATGTATATTTATTTCAACTAGAATTACGTCAGAATAATTGGCGAATTTTTATGACAATATTCTAATTCAAATGCTGCTGAACTAAATAGCAAGTAATCACATTTCGCTTCCTTTGATGATATTTCACACGAATACACAGTTAAGGCAATGGTTAGTGGATGCAGTGGCATATTATAGAGACCGCCAAAAAGCGTTATCAACCCTGAGGGCAAAGACCTTGAATATTATTTTATTCATCGAGCATTAAATTACCATTTCATTTATTACGACCTTGGTTGTAGCGAACATTAACCTATAGCGACGTTAAATATAAATCCCTTGAATTTAAAGCATATTTTAGTACAAAATTCATGTGGATATAGCGACTTTGGATGTAACGCCGAGTTCGGGAGTAGCGACTGTTTTTAATGAATCATTTGTAACAAATTCCGAGAAATCCCATGCAGATATTGCGATCAGAGTCGGCCGCCAAATACACATTTCTTTCTTTCACGAACATTTAATTTCTTTTGTTTACATCCATACAGATGGTCAGCAAGTGTGAAGACCTTTACGTTTTGTTTATGGATCTCAGCTAAGTAGGTAGGGAAGCGTGTACGTTTCGGAGTTAAATTTTGAGTTCAGTTACAAAGTGATATTCTGAGTAGCAACTGTAATGTATTAAATTTCTTACCATTGCCTCTAACGACTTCCGGATATAACGACGAAAATAGAGTGGTCCCTTCATCGTCGTTATACCCGAAATCCACTGTAATATAAATTGAAACGCGTCTTTATATATTTTATTTATTATTATTATTATTAAATATCATATATATTTATTATTAAACTTATTAGCTTGCTAATATACCAGAAATTATTAAGATAGCTCATTAATCTTTAGCAAGAGTTGTGACGTGCTGGTCTCCAGTGCTGGGCGTGGCGAGACGAACCGCGGCTCGCGGCGGCCAGGCACTTGCTGCGCGCTCTTGAGACTGCCCCGCCAAAGAACTACCGCCAACAACACCGTACACCCGCGCGCTGGCCGACGATAGCGAGTGCACCGATATAACCTGTCCAACATAACACATTGGCTCAGAGATTATACTATTTCCGCAGTACTTGAAAATGACCCCGGATTTTGTGGGCCTCGATGAAATAAGAATTTTTAGAGACAAAACTTTTTCGATAATTATCCCACTTAGTATTTATAATATAAAAGTACGAAATTGTATTTCAAATATTTATTTATAAAACGAGAAATCAACAAACAAATTAAAGTCCATCGTTCAAAATCACGTTAATCCTTGAATATGTTAAGGTTGCGATGATGAGCGAAATGTTTGGTAATGGCACTGCCAGATGCTTCACAACTTTAGCCTAAATTCCATCGATAGTCTCATTTAAAACACACAAATATATTGACAATCGCAAGAACTTTCTGACATAGATCTTCATTAGTCACCTTTAAAACAATTTAAAAAAATCGGATTGTTTTAACTGGTACCTTACGAAAAATAATTGCAGCAGGTGTAAACGAGAGAAAACGAATTTAGTTCTTTTTTAACTTATTATAGGCCAGTGTCTGACTACAATACTTTGTGAAGAATACTAACTAGACCCTTTTAAAATGTTAAGTGAATTACTGTCAGCTGTTCCTCCTCTCTATCAGACCATACACTGCCTGGGCCTCTACTATAGTAGGAAAGATTAGCTATAAACGTAAACGCCACGCTTCACCTGTCACGCTGTGTGATGTACCAACTACCAAAGTTACGACTGGTTACGACCTTTGGCACTGCCGTCGTCGGTAAAATGCTGTTTGGTTACAACGCCATCTGTTAGTCCATAATGCGTTACCGATCACACGGCAAACGATGGGTCTCAGTTCATCAATTGATGGTGAAATAAGAAAATTCATGAACACTACACGCTCTTTTAGGGTCCGAGTCATCTGGAACTAGAGCCAGAAAGACAGAAAATCTCTCGATAACTTTCTTAAAAATCTATATTTCGACGAAGATATTTCTTCAGGCGTATGTTTTCAATGTCAGCGACGACCTGACATGGAAAGCGCCTTTACTTTTTTGTACTAGGATACATATCAATCAAAACGGAAAAAAAATTCTTCTATTGCTACGAACCCATAATAATATTCTTTACAAACCCTTATTTTTTGTAAAGGAACGTGTAACAGTTCAAGTTATAAACGTAGTTGGGCAAAGGACAAAAATAACGATAAATAAATACTCTTTTAATACAGTTTCGAATCTTAGTCATTAATTATCAATCAACGTCTGGCATTCATTAAGCTACATTAAAGACAATTCGATATACGAATTTAAAGGAAATATATAAGTTAAATTAAAATACAGCTTAATCTGTTCTTGTTTAATGGCATATTTTATGTTTGTAACAAACAACTTCACAAAAAACTTTCACATAATTTTAATGTCACAAATATTTATAGCTTCAGTTTAAAGACATTTAAGTATAGTATACTATATATTAAAATCTCTTTGCTTAAGTTACGATTTTTATATAGATCTGTAGACAAACAAAGGAATAATATCAACTAGCTGGCCGCCTCTCAGCTGTCAGAAAAGCGCACTGAATCTCAAATATTTTATCATTTAAGTATTCAGTTTTTTTAAGGAAGTTAAAGCGCAAGCACACGTATACAAAATTTAACAAGAAAATCATTGAATTTATTTAACCAGCTTTTCATATTCACGTACTTTCATCAGATAATCTCTTGTAAATATTATATTGTACAATTAATCGTTATCTATATTTTTAGAAAATCTACCCTAGGGTCTTAAAACGAGGCTGTAGTGTGTGAAAAATATGGTATTAAGACCCAGCGTCCAAAATGCTTCACGTTAAATTCTGAAATTTGGACAGTGATTGCTTTTTATGATGTAGGCTTGCACTAAGAAAGCATTTGAAAATCAAGCCTTAAGAGAAGAAAATACTCGTAACATGTTACAGTTTTTATGAAACTTTTTATTTTACGGAGCGATTAATTCAAGACTTATGAAAGTACCCTGTAAATAAAATAAATAAAAACATAGGTACTCTGAGATTTTATTTTCAAAATATACCCGGTTTTAAAACAAGGGTTGTATATGAAAATATTCATACAATGCTCAGCCCAACATAGAATCAACTGAAAATATCAAACCCTGAGAGGGTGAAATAAGCCGTTACAGTTTGTATGACACTTTTTTTATTTTACGGGGCACTTTCGTATTGGTATGGTGAAAAAAAATATTTTTGTAACTTAAAAATTGGTACAATCACATTTGGTTTAAAATAATGAAATATATATTTTTGAATTTTTCGAAAATTTAACCATAAAGTGTAAAAAGAGGGTATAATGTTTGCGTGCGGAAATATTGCTTTCTAACTTGCATGGTCGTGAGGGTACACTTAAAACGAAACTATGGTAGTTATTGATAAATGATTAGGTTGATTCGATAATAGTTGGACCAGGTAAGTAGCATTGTTGGGATCCAGAAATTGCGGCCAGTATTGAATTAATAAGACTGACACCAAAAATATTAAAACAAAAATAATCTTATTTAAAATTTTAAGATTGAGATAACATGTCTGGCTTTTATTTAAGCTTTTAGATTATATAGATTAATTTTACTTAAAATACTAAATACTTTAATGCTTCTCTATCTTTCTAATCCGTGTATTTGGGACATATTTTTAGCTTTTCCCTAGGATCTATCAGAGATCAAAAATTTGTTAATGAATATAATATAAAAAATTGTATCATTAATAACTAGCAATGTAGGCCTTACCCTCGACTTATGCCGGAGAAGTGGTCGGCTTTCAGTCGACGACGCGTCGCCTTCGATGGTCCTACTATTGTAGCCTTGTGCCATGCGCCAGAATATTATCATGGCAACCGCGAGAGCGGCAGCGTACGCGAAAAACTCTGTGGCCTGTAAATTCCATATTATTAATATTGATTGTAAAATGACATTTTAATGTAAAACAAAAACCAGTTTCACAAAACTTCATATTTCACTAACTAGGTTGGGTTTCCTTTTCTATCTTTGATATTTCTTGGAAATCTCTTTTTAGAATTTATAGAACCAGTATTATAATCGACTGTGGGCGTTTTCATCTTGCCATTAGAAGGTGACAACGTGTCGGTAGCCTGCTTTATTAACTTAGAATAACATCAAAACTCTATTTTTACCTTGAAAGTTACCACCGAATGGACAATGATATTAAGCAAATTATAGACCTCTTAGGAGTTTTCTATTAACATTTATCAAAATTACGTAGATGTGAAATAAAATACTCCTGTTTAGAAGAGTAAACTTAATATTCCTCGCCCTTGAGGAATTCCAGTCCTCAAGGGCGAAAGTCCTTAATTACATTTTGATTCGTTTGATTTTTGATTAAGGATAGATTTATATGAATACTCGTATGGGCCACAGGATCCAGTTACCATCAGGTGGACTGTGTGCTCGTTTGTCAGGCTTATTCTATAAAAAAGGTATCCAGGTTGTCTTTTAAGGTACTGTAATAGTTCATAACAAATTCCACGCTTTCTTCATCTTGCTATCTAGTAAAATATAAAGTTATTTACTCTGGATTCAAAGATTTTAGTCTGGGCGATGAGAATTACAATTAAGTTTCCGAACGCCACTGACACGTACCACGCAGCGATAGTGATGGTCTTCATACTCTTAGGAGCCTGTAAGTAAAAATATCAATATTTAAGTCAACATTTATACGAGGTAACTATATCATGGACACGAAAATGTCACTTCAACCGGGAAAGGACCACGCTATACCAGAATACCACCGTAAAAAGTTAATAATATATCTAATATATAAAAATATATTTCTTTATTTTCGTCGTTTTTTCTTTAAAATAATATCATAATAATTTTGTTTAAAAACAAGATTGAAAAGATTATTTTCTAACTAGGAATAACATAGCCAGGATACTATTAAGGATCCTTCGTGGTAATTACTAAGTGAATTATCTATTTTCATAGCCAGATTTTTTTATAGGAGAGGGGGCAAACGCGCTTGCGGCTCACCTGATGGTAAGTGACTATCGCCGCCCATAAACAACTGCAACACCAGGGAAATAGCAGATGCATTGCCGGCTTTTTAAAAAGGAGTTGGCTCTTTTCTTGAAGGTCCCTAAATCGTATCGATCCGGAAAAATCGCTGGTGGTAATCGATCCACAAGGAAGTTGTGCGAGGAAGAAAACATCTTCTAAATCGCACAGTGGGGGACCGCCAATCATCCAGATAGTATGGATGGTATCGCGAGTTTTGCCGCGATGTGCGATGGTGAAATTGATCGGCTGCAATGAATCCGAAAAATTCCTCATTGCACACCCCGGAATAAATACGAAAGAAAATGCAAAGGGATGCAACATTTCTTCGCAGCGCTAGTGAATTGAGCCGATCGGAAAGGACTCGGTCGTCGACGATTCGAGCCGCTCTGCGCTGGATGCGGTCAAGTGGAAGGGGCTGGCACTGGAAAGCCCCAGCCCAGAGATGGGAACAGTATTCCATGTGAGGCTAAACCTGCGCCTTGTAAAGTTGCAGGCGGTGTGCCGGCATGAAACACGGTCCCGCTCTGCAGAGCGCGCCAAGCTTAGGTAGGCTTAGATTTTATTTTTGGTGTTAAAATTTAGACTTTTAATAGAAGTTCATTTAAAAAACATAATTATACACTTAATCTACGAAATAAAATAAAAATAATTACCTGTGTAAAAGAGAACTCTAGTCCAGAGACGGCAAACATAATTTCCGCAATAGAAACGAGAAGGTACTGTGGAACGATCCAGGCAAGGTGTAGCTCATTGGGGGGGTTAGGTGCATGTAGCACCGCTGCGTCTAGCCTCCCAAGCCTCTCACGGACGCACAGAACGTACACACCGCCGGCACGCACAAAACCTTCTCCGGAGCCAGACAACTCTCCGTTCGCACTTTCAGCGCGCCACCTAAACCTGATATTATAAACAAATATATTTTAAGTAAACTTATTTTTATTATAATTTAAGTAAACTTTGACCGAGAGGTCAATCGACGGATTCAACTCAGCTGGGCAGCGTTCGGGAAACTACGACACATCTTCTCGTTAGACATACCTCAAAACCTTAAAACGAAATAGTACAACCACTGCATGTTGCCAGTGATGACTTACGGATCTGAGACGTGGTCCTTCACTGCGTTCCGTATGAGGAAGCTCAAGGTCGCTCAGCGAGCTATGGAGAGGGCTATGCTCGGGGTTTCTCTGCATGATAAACTAAGAAATGAGGATATCCACAGTAGAACCAGAGTAACCGACATAGCCTAACGGATTAGTAAGCTGAAGTGGCAGTGGGCCGGCCATATAGCTAGAAAAACCGACAACCTATGAGGAAGAAAGGTTCTCGAGTAGCAGCCTCGTACCGGTAGGCGAAGTGTAGGGCGACCCCCCACTAGATGGAGTGACGACGTGGTAAGACATGCAAGAAGTCAATGGATGCAGGTGGCTCAGCTCGTGCTTTGTGGCATTCCTTGGTGGAGGCCTATTTTCAGCAGTGGACTTATGAAAGGCTGTAATGATGATAATGATGATAACGATGATATTTTAAGTATGATGTAATAAATAGTTAACCTATAGTGCGATAAATGGAAATTTTAATGTATGGTTAAGCATAAAGTTTTTAAGTTTCATTGTATTACTAACACTCTATGGACAAACTAGTCTGAAATAAATTATAAATTAATTAATCGTGTAGCTGCGGTTTATGAATATCCACTACTTCTTATCGTCCCGTGTGTGTCGTAAGAGGCGACGAAGGGTTACCGTAACTGGAGATGGGTATCTTTTTTTGTATATAATGAAGGTGACAAATGAACACACAGTCAACCTGAAGGCAAGTGGTTGCTGTGGCCCATAGATATCTAAATCTATCCTTGATTAGAAATCTAAATACAGATGCGTTTGAATATGCAGACCCTGAGGACTAAGCTTGAATTCCTCGTTTCCTGTAAAATGCATCTCTAGTTCTGTACAGTCAACATATTATGAAACACAACAATATGAAGCTACTATTTCCCTTGGAAGAACAATTGTTTCAGCAGATATGACAACATACAGGCAACTGAACCCCGAGTGGTATGTCGTGCCTAGTGTGGTGGTGCTGGGATTGACGGTGACGGGTATAGTGCGCGCGATTGACGGAGGGTGGGAGGTCCCCTTAAAACTGAGCAGGACACATCATTTTCTTTCTTTACGCGGAATTAAGCAAATTAATTTATAACAACCCCATTCTAATAAAAATGTTAAGAGCTTAATATTTTACATAAAAAAGGTTCTATGATTTTCTTTCCTTCGGTCAAAATTAAGCGAGTTAGGGAGGTTTTAAGTTTATGGGATGAACGTAAATCGTATGTAGTAGAAAAATAAGCGATATTTTATAAATTTCTTAAAAATCTAATCTTTAATTTTAGAGATACATATGTTTTTAATTGTTAAATAACACCACTTACGTTTACCTACCGCAATAATGTTCTTGCTTATCGCAATAAGCACACCACCGTCTCGCAGTTGTTTTGTTCGATTGAGATTGCTTAACGGTACGAGTAATTAATAATCAATCATATTAAAGCCTCAGGCTAATACTAATTTATTAAATTCACAAAATATATAATATACTGTTATATGGTAAGACGGTAGTAAACAAATTACGTTATATATAAGTAATGTAAACCGCACTGAGAAAACAAAGACGACAAAAGATAATAAAACCGAAGGCATTAGATTGCAATGGCGTGAGTAGTTCTTAGAAAATTAATTATTAAAGAACTGTCCGTGTTTACTTACAATCCCAGCGTGAAAAGCGATCCCCAGGATAAAAAATAATAGGAATTGAAAATGCTTGCAAACTGCAATTTAATTAGGTGGGTGTTAGTCGTAACTGCAAACAAAACACTGCGATAAAGCGAAGAATAACGCCGGCTCTCAAACTATGGTTGACTATTATTGAAATATAAATGTTTAAATGACACAAAATAATTAAGCCTAATCTATACAAATAAATAAAATTGAAGTGTCTGTTTGTAATGTTAAAATTACAGTTTTTTACTAAATGCATATGAAAGTAAATACGGTACTTTTAAATTTTTGTCTGTCTGTTTGTTCCGGCTAATCTCCGAAACGGCTGGACCAATTTTGACAGGACTTACTTACTACTAGTAACTTAGGCCACTTTTATTTTAGAAAAAGAATTAGAGTAACGCGCAAAAAAAAACTCTAACACGCGAGCGAAGTCGCGGGGAACAGCTAGTATAAAGCGGTATTTGTCAATTAACGTAACTTGACTAGGACCGATTCTGATTTTATGTTGTAGACGTGCGACGTGTCGATTTACCGCACAACTATACCTTCCCGTGTTTGACCCAAACATATTGGTAGTTTTTTGTTCCTTTTGCAACAGTTTTCGATTTGTTCAACAGCATTTTTTTTTGGAATAACTAGGTGATAGTTTATGTAAATACGGGTGTTCCCTTTTAGGTCAATATCTTTCGTTGAAATAAATGTATTTTGACGAGAAACTGCGATGAAGTTTTCTACATGAAAGAAAGTTGTTGATAAAAGAAAGAATAATAGGCTGTCTTGTTAGGCCCATCATATCGCGTCTGAACACGAGTTATTTAATTAATATTACTCTTCGATACAGGATAAGTGACTTTAGATCCTATTTAAATTACAATGTCAAACAAATTCTCTCCAGTTTTAAGTGGGACACCCTTGACGTTATTTGATAATAGCCACTGATCTTTTTCATTAATGTCTGTGTCTTTAAAGAAGATATTTATGGCTCAGCATTTTCTTTTTTCAAAGCTATCTAGTTTTTCCAACAAATTGTCACTTATTAGATTTTCGAAAGTCTGCAATATTGTTTTTGATTATTCGAATATCATTGATGACTTCTTGAAGAGGCAATAATTAGTACGAAAGGTTCTGCAATTCGATCATAACGTTATCAAGGGTGGGGACAGTTGTTGAGATGTCTTACAGGAAACAGCGCCATGATGACCGGCACCTGATGGTAAGTGGTTCCTGTGGCCCATAGACATCTACAGCTATCCTCGTGCAAATGAAAATGCAGATACATTGTTACCCGTGAGGACTAAGATGCAATGCCTCTTTTTCAATAAAAGGGTATCCGGTTCTCTACACTCACCATACGAATCACAGCAGCGTTAAGCTGTACGTTCACGCTGGTATTCTGTGAGAGCGTGGTCCTTACCCCTTAAAGTTTGCGATAGCCAATTTCCGTTATTCCAGATCATGGGTAATCGAAGTACTTGCGACAGACAGAGCACTGAAGAACGCTCCTCACAACATCTACCACGCACAACCATATTGAAGTTAGTCGGAATAAAATATTCTATAAGTTTGTGAAACACTTAGGGCGCGTTTAGACGCGTCTAACTCGCGTTGAAATTTGTTGCATATAATTTGAGTCTTATGACAAATCAATAAATCTGAAATTGTATGAAAAGCGCGGGCGTAGGGCGTAGCGGGGCGGGTGCAGAGCGTGTGCGGGGCGAGCGCGGAGCCGGCGCGGAGCGGGATCGAGGCGGGCGCGTGGCGTGTGCGGGGCGTGTGCGGTTGAACGTCGATAAATGCAATTTAAGATTTATTCATTTGACATTTGACATATATTCATAAGACTCAAGTAATATGCAACAAATTTCAAAGCGAGTTAGACGTGGGTGATGACGCGCATGGCGTGCGCGTAGCGGGTGCTTGTCGTCGGAACGCTACCTTAATAGTGGCAGTTGACGACGGTATTTATATTTTTTTTAATAAAACGTTTAAGATTGAAATATAATTGTGCGTCTGTTAAGAAATCTCGAACTGAACTGTATATAATCATTTAAATACCCAAGTAAATACTGAAGTAAATAAGCAAGTAAATAATCAAAAACATTACCAAATCAATAGTCAAGTAATTAATCAAGTTAATAAGCAAGAAAATTGTCAAGTAAAAATCAATCATTTGTTAAGTAAATAGGCAAGTAAATAGTAAAGTGTATAACCCAGTATCTAGTCAAGTAAATTCTAGTAAATAGTCAAGTAAATAATAAACTATAACACCAAGTAAATATTCATGTATATAGTAAGTAAATAAGCTAGTTACTAGTCAAGTAAATAGGTAAGTAAATAGTCAATTATATAGATTTTTTTATAAAAAATATAGATATGTAAATAATAGTCAGGTGAAGAGTTATGTAAATTAGCAAATAAGTAGTGACTGAGTGATAAGTAGCTTGCCTTCCTTACTTTTCTATCGCATCCTTCTTTCCAATTAGATACAAAACTTATGGCGCCCTCTGTTGGCCTACAACAAAAGCGTCTGTAAAAGAAATCGACACGATCGATTCCTACATGTAATAAAGAACGAACTGCATCGGTAATGTTTGTTATTGTCTAAACCTTTCAAGATAAAATCAATGTAATTAAGCGTTACATATAGTGAGTGTGCCGGGTCGACCCAGGTGTGTGTAATCACGTAGGCGTGTGGTCAAAAAGGATGAAGATATTGTTGAAGCCAAGTTGAAGTTGATCGGCACTACCGCTAACCGTGAGTTTACCTATTTAATTTACCCTTCCTATTGGGCCAGACTAATTTTCTCTTACTGTAGGTAAATCACCTAGGTAAATTGAGTAGCAATTCAAAATAAAATTCTATTTATATTTATTTTAAGTAGAAGTGTTCCGATTACTATAAAAACGGAATTCAATCCGCGCATGTTCTATTCTAACCTTTTTCAAGTAGTCAAGTAAATAGGCAAATAAGTAATCAAGCATATAAGCTAGTAAATAATCAGCACAGATGCAGACGTCTCAACCTCATTGACGAGCGTTGGCGTTTGTTTGTCTATTTGATCGTAAGATATATATTTAACTTTGTGTAAATATAGTCACTTCTCTTAAATAGTTTATTTAAAAATAAATATCTTAACAATTCTTAAATGATTCCCGTAGTAGAAATTCCCTCCGGACTGATTTGTGACCAAGGGAGGGGATTTTATAACCGCTGTGCTCGTTGGACATAGTGTTGCCCAAAATCGGTCTTGGTCTTGCAGTCTTAGTCTTTTTCTTGCATTTTTGCAAGACCAAGACCAAGAGCAAGACCGCCTATTTTTAACAAGACCAAGACCAAGACTGACCTGTCAAAGAAATTGTGCAGCTATTCGAAAGTACAAGGTCAAGATACATGTGCCGGCGGCTACTATTGATATCGCATACAATCGTCACCGCCGCGCCGCACGCACTACGTTTGACACTGTTTGATTGCCGCCACAGAGTACATGTTCCAAAGAATAAAATAAGTTTCCGGGTGCTCAGAATAGACATTAATACATTATGCTGATCTCGCAAGGAATATTGTAATTAGATAGATAGAATCAAATGATAGGTAGATATCATAATAATTTATTCTAGTAAGTAATTATAATAACATTAACTATATGGGTTGATAATAATTACTTACTATTATTATTATTACCTAATAGATAGACATGTTCAATAAGTTCACTACAAATCTCGACTTTTGGAAGTGTGTGTTTTTAAAACACAAAGTGCTCGAATATGTCGTCACCCATTTGATAAATATTGTAGACACTTCAAATGTGTAAAAATGGATCTGGATCTTGTCTGCAAGGCTTAGTTATTAACGTTGGAAGAGTACCTGAGTAAACCCAGAGCCGCCAGCTCGGAAGACATTTTAGAGTGGTGGAGCACGCATGAGACAAAATATTAGATTTTATCGAAGATGGCCCGTGATTTTCTTTCAATACCTGCATCTTCAGTACCTTCTGAGAGATTATTTTCTAAAGCATCATTAGTAATTATAAAACATAGATATAGGTTAAGTGATGAGTCAGCAAGTAACAGTAATGTCAAAGCTATTGTGTACTGTGAAGTGATTTAATTTGTATCGTATTTTATTTTTTATTGAAATAAATGGTATATTGTATAACTCTTTTATTCCATTTCATATATGATGAGGGTCCATCAATCTCTTTCTAGACAGATAATGTTCTTTAAAATACAGTGAAGTTATTGCAATTAATTTGTTTTATATGTTTAACCATGTTTTAGCACATGTAAGCTTATTAAATGTAAACGTTTATTAAGAAACAGACTGACGCCCGTGGCCGTGGGATATGGTAGATAGTTCAGTTAGATCATCGGCACGGATCGCTTAGGTCGTGGGTTCAAACCCCACCCGCTGTTAGTTGATTTTTCGAATTTCTCATTAAATGTTTAGACATTTATTAATATGGTTGGTCTTTACTATAGCTATGTTAATTCAAGCTCAATATGTACCTACTCTGTTAAGTTGTTCTAAGATCTATAGTAACGATTAATAAATAGTAATAGGCTAATAGGTAATTGCGAGACTCTTGCTGCAAGACCAAGACCAAGAGCAAGACCAAGACTGGGAGCGCAATACCAAGACCAAAACCAAGACTTGCTAAGTCTCTTCTTGTTCTTGCATTTGGGCAACAATAGTTGGACACCAGCTAAGTTAATTTTAATATTGGATGTACGGCAGTTAGAAGAGGCAAACTAAGCCTCGGGTATATAAATAAATTCTTTTTTATTTATATTTGTTGTTTTATTACATCATAACTTAAAACGTAGCAAGTAGCACCCATCTTATTATATTAATTATTGATTTTGATATGATTTCCTTAGCATTTTCTTGTTTTCTGGTGTTGGTAATATGCATTTTTTTCTTTTCAAACTTTGTGCTTATTAATTTTTCTCTCTATCTGTATTAGAATATAAATAATTTCCTCTAAAGCACACAGATTGAATTCTATATTTTTTCCTTGATTTTTTATATTATATTATTATTCATTGTTAGTGATTATTTGTTTTTACACTAACTTAAGTTTTTTTTTAGTATATTTTTCTTTGAACGATACATCTTTCTTGATCAAATTAATAACCTTTCGTGACAGAATTAGGTTGGCTGTTTAAATTCTCTTTTCTTATTTGCCGTTTATATATTATTATAACTACTTTCCTTGTGGTAAATTATGTTAGGTGTTTCATTACACTATATACCTAGGTTTTGAATGGATACACGCTATTAAATATTTACATTTGCAAAAAGCCGAATTACAGTGCGAATTGATTTTAAGAGGAGAAATACCGGCAAGTACAGTAATTGAACTCAGACGTCAGGTTTGCAAGTTACCTCAATTATATCCATCAAACGATATTTCCGATTCATGTGTTGAATTTTGAAGATATAAAAGGTATCACGAAGCCTCCTAATAAAATTAAGTCGAATCTAGAGATCCTTTCTACATCAAGATTCAATCAAGCGCATTTTTTACTAAACCACAATTTATCATCAAATATGTCGTAAAGAACACCCTGAGAATTCTGAACGAATTTCAAAATTAAAATGTATAAATGTTAAAATGTACCAAATCTTTTGATGAATATTCTAATTAGTTTAATAAAATAACGAAATCAGAAAGTCGTAAAGATTTTGTTAATATTTCATCGGATATTGCAATGGCTACATCAACTGCAGAAAACTTAAATATTTCTGTAAGATGTGATCGCGCTTTATCCTCGGATTCTAAACTGAATCTATATTAAAACAATCTAAACTTAAATACGATGGTAAAACTTGCGTCCGTTCATTCATTCAAATACTTGAGCAATTCCGTATCGTTAGAAATGTATCCGACAAAAGACTGTTATCATCCACTTTTAAAATATTTGTAGGTGATGATTTTCACTGGTATCGGGCATAACATTAGTCATTTGAATGATCTAATTACACGTCTCCAAATAGTTTTGACGTTTTTAACTAAGACTACCGTTTAATTACCGTAAGATCCATAAACCCACGCAGGGTGTATCTGAAAATATCATTACTTATATGAATGTAATGCAAATGTAACGTTTATCTAGCATATAAATTGCCAACTCATTGAACATTAGGTACGATGGGTAGACCAAAGTAATGCGGTAGGGCTTTCCAGATTCTATCAATTGACTTGATCGGGCTCTTACCACCTACTAAGAAACAATACTGTTATATTTTAGATGTAATTTGTTGCTTTTCTAAGTATTGTCTTATGTTGCCTCTACGTAGAGCCTTTTTGCAGTGCACTATTAACGACATTAGATCTGAAGACATTTTGACGTTTCTAGTGACGAGCGTCGTCATTGTACCCTAATTAGCAAATAATATATTCCGTGCTAACACTTCAGTCAACAAATCATGTCTCAAAGTATGTATGAGCTGTAGTAGCACCGAATTGCTCTTGTAGTTTCTCTATTTGTATCAAGCCATTAATAAACATCATAAGTATTAATAAATAATATACAAATCCAATATATCACTTATCGCTTATAGTCTTAGTAGGAAATCAGCATACACTTTTCTTAGCAATATTAACTGGTTACAGTTTCCCTGTTCCGCAATGAACCGAAGACTTGAAAGTAAATATTTGTTCTATAAACTAAAGTTATGACTGAATTCAGAGCTTTCGAAATCTTAAACAGTAAAAATCTCGATTAGCAAAAGTTAAGTCTACACAGAAAATATTGCGAACAAAGTTTTATTGATTGAAAAAATATTCGTTTAAATTTTTTGGTTTCCACCGAGAGTTTGCGATCAACGTGACCGGCGTTATTCTATTGTATTTTTATTAGGAACTAGCTGTTCCCTGCGACTTCGCCCGCTTTCAATTTATTACGATTTCTTGGGTTTTAGTTTTTTTGCGCGGATCCCTAATTATTTTTCTAAAATAAAAGTATCCAAGTTACTTCTTATAACATCAGCTATCTGCGAGTGAAAGTCCCGTCAAAATCGATCCAGCCGTTTCGGAGATTAGCCCGAACAAACAGACAGACAGACAAAAACACAAAAAATTTAAATATTGTTTTTTTTTTGTTATTAGTACCGTATATACTTTCATGTGCATTTAGTAAAAAGCAGTTATGTTAACATTACAAACCGACACTTCAATTTTGTTTAGTATAGATAATAAAAATGTACTAAAAAAAAACTACATACTAAGACCAGTGTAAATGAAAGAACGTTACATCTCATATTAACTATTCTATACAACTAAACTAAACAAAACTACACTAAAATAATCTTTAACCTATTCAACTTCTGCAATACATTGAAAGTGTTTGTCTTAGTGGTAAATTATAAGTATAGCAGGGATCACAATAGTTTTACTTCGATTACAAATCAAAATGCACATGCCTCGTCACCCGTGAGGATTAAGATGGAATGCCTCTTTTTCAGTAATAAATTAAAATTAAAAATTTTGTACAGCCGACTTTAATATGATTAATTTAAGAATAACTCAAAAATAATTGGTCTGCCCTTGATCAAATTCATATGGGAACACACGAGAACTATCAGATTTCATATAAAAAAAGAATAATCGAAATCGGTCCACCCAGTACAAAGTTATGAGGTAACACACATAAAAAAAAACATACAGTCGAATTGAGTACCGTCTCCTTTTTGGAAGTCGGCAGAAAAAGGGTCTCCGGTTCTGTACACTCACCATACGAAACACAACAGCGTTAACCTGCTATTTTACGCTGGTATTCTGTGAGACCATGGTCCTTCTCCGGTCGAGCCGACCCATTCGTGCTACAACTATACTACTAATACTTAAAAAGCTAAAAATTAGTTTTGCTATATATGTGTACCTAAGAAGTAACTAAGAATTACAAGCCAAAACTTACTAATTACTTTAAACAAACTACGAGTACATACTCTTTTAATGCTCGCACTTACTTCCCCGGTTGCAGACACATGTAGGCAGATTCTCCAATATGGTCGACAGGAGCATCCGACACGTAATATATGTCGCTTAGTCTCTTCTCCGTCTCCACAGTTATCGACACGTTCTTGTTCGGTCCGGTATCACCCACGTACACCACTCTTCGGAGTATTTAGTTATAAATAAAGTTGGTTATAAATTATTAAACATAATAAAATTAGATGTAGGTACAGTCAAGTTGCGTCAAATATACGAAAAAAGGAACGGATACGGATTGCAAATCCGCGGATTATGACATATATAATATCCTACATATATGCTATTTGGTGGGCTATGTAGTAATATCTAATTATTTATTATTATGATCATTCATCACACACTCCCTCATAGATTGCCTCCTAGTCTTGCCTCACACAATAAAGTTATAAACCACAGTTTTTCAATTATAGCTCCTGCTTCTATTTCCCTCCGTTGGCTTTTATAACATCCACTGGATGATATGAGGATTCCTTTACATGCTCCTAAATACTGATCATCGATCGATATCGATCATCCTCATTGATGAGCCTTTTTAAGAACTTTCCGAAAATCTGGCAACTGGAATACCTTGGATATTTAAAGACGAGTACCTATACTAACCACCCTACGCAGGCAACTTGGTGAACCATTGGGCTAGTAGTGCAGCTTTTCACCATCGATCCGTAGTGATTTGGGCTAGGTAAGTTTGATCACAAGTCAAAAAAAAATCATCAATCAACAAATCACTTTTATCTTAGCTGCTTTAGACAATGGCGATGGTGTTACCTGCACAAGGAGCATGAAGGAAATGGCAAAACCGATTGTATACCGATAACAACTATGAAACGCTATAACACTCCCCATAATCGATAAGTTAGCTTTTTGTCGAAGTACTACGCAACAGGCCACGACTATGTCTTAAAAGTTTATCCATTATTAAAATTGCTAAAGCGAACTTATTCACGAGGCTGTTGTAATCAAATTTGAGAAGTTTGACAAATACGTACTTTACAAACTGTGTGACGCAACAGTTGACGACAGAGATGTTGGAAATTTTTTCCAGTTGGTGCAAGCAACATATTTCAACATTTTTCGTAGATATTAGATAACTTTTTTATTTTTTTTATAGAAGAGGCGAGGCGATTTTATACGAGCGGCTCAGCTAACAGGAAGTGTCGACCCCCACCCATGAACATTAAGCTCGTTTCTTGAAGGTCCCTAAGTCATATCGGTCTGAAAAATCGCTAGTGGTAAACGATGCCACAAAGTAGTCGTGGGAGGAAGAAAACTCCTAATAAATCGCATAGTAGTGGACCGCTAAGCATCTAGATGATGATGATGGTAACTTAAGTTTTGTCGCTATGTGCGTTGGTGAAATTCGGCGGCTGAAATTAATCCGAACAATTCCTCGGAGCACTCTCCGTGGTAAATGCTATAGAAAATTCAAAGGGATGCAACATCTCTTCGCAACGTCAGTGAATCGAGCCGATCGGAGAGAACTAGGTCGTGGTCTATTCGAGTCGCTTTGCGCTGGATGCGGTCAAGTGGAGCTGGCACTAGGAAGCTCCGACCCAGAGATCCGAACTGACGTTAAGTACGTCAGTACGCATCTCTGTGATTTGATCTTCTGGATTTTGATAGATCTGCAAGAGGTCAATGCAGACAATGTCGCGGGTACTCGCGCTAGTTTATTAATTAAAAGTATATGAATATACTACTTACTTTAATTTCGGTTTTCCCGTTAGCGACTTGCCGAACGGGTTTGGATCCATAAAGTACAATCTTATTTGATCATCTGAATTTTGGCCTACAATTACCGGCATAAACTGAAAATATATTAACACATCAAGCAATACTTCTACATAACGGCCCAGTGCAGTGGCGCAGTGCCTTAGCAATTAGTTGTTGCGCTGGGGGCCGCGGGTTCGAATCTCGCACAGAACAAGTATATGTATGACCTACACATAATCGTTCCGGGTCTGGATGTTTGTCCTTGTGCAATTTGTGTTTGTAAACTGCCTCTGCGATACAGGAGAAAATCCTAGTGTGGGGATAACGATATTTAGAGAAAAAAAAATAAGGATGATGAAAGTTAACCAAGGAAACTGTTTTAATCAATAACTATTACACATAACAGTTTAACTTGTTAATTACTAAAGGTTATAAGATTTATATAGAGCTGTGATACCTGGTAGTTCAACGGCTAAGAGCTCAACATAATTTACAATTGCAATTACGAGTATCTCAGTAGTTAAAAAATATATCGTGAGGAAATCTATTATTGCGCAGTTAAATTTTCAATAATAACTAATAATATTCTTCTACCCTCGTCGCTTTTCGAATCGATGTGCATTTCATTATTGATTGTGTAGACAAGAGACGTTGCTAGGCGCCAGCGTGCCTGACGTCGGCATCACTGACCCTCTCTCATTTTTATTTTTTAATTAGTCCGTTTCACTGCTCCAGTACGTATTGGCAGACTTCACGTGTCATATTTTTTTCTGTTCTTCCTCCGACATGCAGCTATTCTCAGGATGTTTTCCTTTACCATCAAGTACGTGGAAAATCAGCCTTATAAACAATTTTGTTAGTCAATTTTGTTAGTTAGCGGCCAGTGATCGAACCTGGTTTCGGCGTACTGTGAAATTTGCGGCAAGTGCTTAGCTAGAGCTTCCACGACTCTTATGATGTTATTGCACAAAAACGATTATTTTAAAATACATACCATCTCAGACACAGTATTCAGATTAGCTTTAACAACATGTTGGTTCATAATACGTCCCGCACATTGGACGGGACAGCTGGCCGAGAGTCCGAGGATGCGATGAGGCAAGGGAGACGTAAGCGCTGTACCGTGCGACTCCACCGGTGCAATGCCCTCGCCACGCACCGCTATCTCCACTGGGCATGCTAGTGTATTCATCACCACTAACCCAGTTTGCTGGTGCCCTGGTACTTGGAGAGTGGACCGCTACAGTGGATCGCAAAGTTTGGCAAATGTAAACAATCATCTATACAAATAAGTGTCTGTTTGTAATATCAAAATAACAGCCTTTTACTAAATGCAAATGAAAGTATATTCGGTACTTATAACAAAATAACAATTTTTTTAATTTCTGTCTGTCTGTCTGTTTGTTCCGGCAAATGTCCGAAACGGCTGATTTTGATGGGACTTTCACTGACATATAGCTAATATTATAACGAGTAACATAAGTTACTTTTATTTTAGAAAAAGGGCTTGGGTTCCGCGTAAAAAAATTTAACCCATGAAATTGTGAACAAAATCCGATTCAAATAGGGAAGTATGGTAATAAATTACTAAAAACTATGTGTACGTAGTCGCAGACATAGCAAGTTTAGAATATACTATATAATAGGTGGTAGTACTACCTTTCTGCCTAGGAATTTGTATGGGTAGGTGTTACCGCCTTACCAATTTACGGCGGGCCTATTATTACAGGCTGAAACTCTTGGTACTCGGAGATAACAATGCATATCTAGCTTTCTTTATTTGAATTATTGCAAGTGTCCACAGGTTGCAGGAGCTGCTTACCAATCAGATGGACTGTATGTTCAAAAAGTACCTCTGATTTTCCAATGATATGAAAAGCACAACGTTAATAATTTTACCTACAGAAGGCTCCTTCAAGTGAGCCATTTACTTCATCTTTAGCAAGCAATAGCCGCTATGCCGCATGGGCTTCTCCCGTTGTAACGTAGATTGATATTTCTTTAACGAAATTTTCACGAATGCGTCCATCTCGTATTTATTGAATGTGATCTTACCATTAAGTGTTTGGAATAAGTGTAAGCAATTAAAGCAGTACTACATGCTTTTAAAGTATGAATCGGGGAACGACGTAACTGTAATATCATAGGTTCTCTTCCATTCTCTTTCTGCCACGACTAAACGTAGTAATTATACGCCTGCCTGGTGATCATACATTTAAACACCAACAAGCACTTTCATTTAATCAAAGAAATCGCAAGCCAAGTATTGAAAAGTCTATATAGGCTCCTAAGTGTATTTGGCTTTGTATCGCCAATAGCCATGTCTAAACCTTCGGTCCATAATGAAAAGTTTATTTACGTACGCAATAAATTTGTTTAAAAACATTCTTATAAAAGATCGGATAATGTTTTGTAAAACAGCTGAAAATTGACTTTACACACAGCTCGCTTTACGAAGTGCAAATTTCTCCAGTGCTGGATAATCATTGCAAATTTAAAGCCAACGGACACGCTTACAGCGATGGCTTATAGCGTTTGTATTTAAAGCTTATATCGCCTAATTTTAGCTACTAAATTTCACTTTTTTTTTTGCAAAGATAGGAGATAGATAAAACCATTATAGCGAGAATTATGGTTAAAGGAAAAAAAGCTTTTTAAATTTTACTATTACTTTTTGGGGTGACGAAAAAACACACATTCCATCTAACGTATGCTGTGGCCCATACTCACTTACATATATCCTTGACTTACTTTTTACTTTACTTTACTTGATTAAGGACTGGGGACTAAGATAAAATACCTCGTTACAAGTGAAAGGGTCTTCGATTCTCTACCCTCACCATATGTAACACCAGCATAAAACTACTATTTTACGTTATTATTCTATCAGAGTGTGGTTCTTACCCGGTTGAGCCGACCCATGTCTGACTCTACCACGTTATAAATTGCATTGGATTTGATGTACACAGAATTCAATAATGTTTTACAATATCAAACTTGTGAGTAAAACTTTTTACCATTTCTGGTTAAAATATGATTCAGTTATCACTTCAGAACTATGCAACTACGACTATGGAAAAACTGGCACCACTACGAGTATATTGTAACACGCTGCATTAATAGCGATTTTAGCCACCAATGCCACTAATGGCAGATAGGTTACTCTGAACTTATGAAACTTTCTATGAATTTTATCATATTTTATGAATCTATTATATTAACTACTAGTGACACAGAGCCCCTCCCCATCTTTGCCTTGGTAAGATGTATTAATGTGGCTTTATTTAGTTATGAGAAAATCAGCAAAGATAATTTTTTATCAATTTTTCGATTTCTTTGAAAAGATCTCCAAGGTTTTCGGTTAACATACAGCCACCATCATTTCTAACATCGCTCTCTATCCGTTCGTCAAGTTTTTTTTAAAGTCGGTTTAGCCATTCCGAAGATTTTCCCCGACAGAAAGACGGACAGATAAAAATGTCAAAAATGTCATGTCATGTCTCATGTCTTAAGCAAATAACCCCCCAAGTTCAATAAAAGGCAGTTATTTTAATATAACAGATGTTTCTGTTTCTGTTCTGTTTCTATAGATGTATATATTTAATCAATTTGTCTCTTCATTTCCATGGTTTCCATTTCAGCCTATCAGAGGTTTACAGCTGAACAAAGGCCTCCCGTATATAATAATGCCTCATAGAGGAATATTTGCCGCGCTTAGCAACCGCAGTTTTTTTATTCAGCTGTTATCAAGAACATCATGATGATGCTTATCTTCTGGTTCAGTTTCCCTCTGTCGTCTTTTATGACACCCCCACGGGGTAATATGGGTTTATGAATATTCTTACACCGCCGCTGCACGTTTGATTTTAATGGTTATTGAACTAATTTTATTACACTAATTTTCCTTAATTTAAAATTTTAAATAATAAAAAAAGTTCTGGTATTTATTAAAAATAAATTTTTACTCATTAAGTGTGTACTACAACGAACGCGTAGCAGCAAGAAGTGACACTCGTTAAAGCTGTTGCATTGAAATGTTGGCATTATAAGTTTAAAGTAAAAGGAAACATTGAAATAAAGCACGTTGCCCGGAATTTTAATGTAAAGTATTTTAGAGAAAGCTTTGAGATGACGTACTAACATTGCGCCAGATAAAAGAGGTGAATGTAACATTCACAAACTTTAAAAACTATGAAACTATGGACTGCGATGCAAAGACTGCGTTGTAGAAGTGTTGTCGGATGTTTTATTCATTTCAATAACGATATATGAATTACATTTTTATAGTGTTATATGGTTATAATTTTCAATATATTTAAAATTTAATTACTACATGTTTTTGTCTGTTAACCTCACCTCAATACCAATTTGCAAGATCCCAGCAGCGACGAAGGCCATAGCAGCAAGTATTCCTCCGATAAACATCTTTTGTAGGGGGGGCAATTCTGGCAGAAGTGGCCATGCTCCACTTGGACACACAGGAATCATGACGAGGACCATTGCTGGGTTCATAACTTGCAACTGATCCGGCATAAGCGTCATACCGAATACTTCACTACGTAATCGCGACGCTTGAAAAGTCCAGCGAGATCCCTGAATTTTTTATAAACAAATCAGTATTAATAGAACGATACTATGTTTCTTGTTGTTAATTACATCAAAAGTAAATAAACAACTTGAAAAACCAACGCGGTAAAACACACAAACAGCCGCTCAAAAGATGCAATTACTTCCGGCCTACATCCGGTGAGTATGCCTGCCGTTGCTCGTCACAGGTAATCGAATTTTGCCGACATAATTTAATTTCAAGTTTCATAGCATCCTGTAGTAAGATAAATCTAGATAACCTGGTTAATTAGAAGAGAATCCAAAGACACCGCATCCTATTATTTATATATATAAAACGTATGCATTTGCAAAAAGGTACTCTATTTTATTCAAAGAAATGAGAATATTGGAATAAATTGTGGATATTCTTACACCGTCACGACACGGTTATGAAATGCAATCTGTGATAATGTTATGAATTATTTGGAGACTTGTTATGGTACTGTACGTAACTGGTTTGATAAGGTTGTTTTAATCTAAATATATTAAATAGGTACCCCAGTTGTAATACATTCAGAAAATTATTGTGCATCTTGTATGAATTAGTTAATAATACACATTTTTGTACCAATAATTGGGGTGTTATTCGGTTAGACGGCTGCTGATGTGAAGTGACATTTTTTGTTTAGGTTTGTTTAGGTAATGTGTTACTTTTGTATTTGGAGTACCTCGTAACAAGTTAAAGTTACAGCCTACTCCTGGCAACAGATCTCTTCTCATTTCTGAGAGGATTTAAGGAAAAGGAATTGTCCCAATGCGTGCTGGTGGACTTTATTTGTCTTCGCAATATATTTTTAATTTCTCAGCCAGCGAAAAACACGCGGAAAATAAATACTTTTAGAAATTTCATTGATTCTGGCGGGGATGAAACCAGGGTTGCTCGCATAATGTAAAGTTTACAGTGAGCGGTCAGCCTCTGAATTACCACGACTCTACCTACAGCTCGTGATAGATACAAGTCACAATAGATTGGAATATTTTTTTACATGTCATTTTATTTCCATTTTATGTAATGTATTTGTCTACCTATATATGCTCTTAACTTTTTCACTTTGTATTTTTTTACGTGCGCAACCTTTGTCTTGGTGGTTGAAACTTGAAATAAAATGTATCAATTTCTTTGATGTAAAAATATAAATTTAGTTTGTCTAATCTATTTTTTCTAATTTAGAAACTCCACAGGAATGCAGTATGTGACGTCATCGTACCAGTGTAGCGCATGGACGTAACTGCTTAGTTTAGCGTAGAAACGCGTTTAGCTATGACAATTATTCGGATGTGATTGTAAAGATTTTGCCGAGCACTACCAGGAGTAGAAGACATAAAGTGAGATAATAAGAAATGTTTACCGAAACATAGTTAAGTGAAAATTAGTACTTATTAAATTGAAAATTACGAAATATTTAAAGATAGTTTTATATGACTCAATATGCTTGAAATTATAGAAAACTAAGTCAAGGGAAAGGTCGCGTCGAATGGAATCCAAAAAGCCTAAAACATCGTCGGCTTTTTGATTGGCTCGACCGGGGTAGGACCACGCTCTCACAGAATACCAGCGTAAAATAGCAGCTTAATGCTGCTGTGTTTCGTATGTTGGGTGTAGAGAACTGGAGACCCTATTTACTGGAAACTAGGTATTCCATTCGTTCATCACCGTATTCCATAAAAAAAGTCCAGTGGCGCGAATGCGAGAGTTACGGCAGCGTCGGAAAGGAAATAAATAAAAAACGCAAGGAACGTTTCCTTTTATAAAATGTTGTTAAATTATATTACGTATTTTCTTTGAAAACTCTGCATATTATTTTACAGAGAAATGAAAATAACAAGACGAGCACGTGAGTTAATAAAGCTTTTTCATTTTATTATAAATGTTTAATTTAGGACGTTTTGTTCTTCAACTTTAAAGTTTTAACAATTCATCTTTTTAACATTAATAGGTACTTATCTACGGCTAGGACAAGAGAGGGTGATTATGGCAATTTTTCCTACAATGGGAGGATCTCATGTTATTTATTTATGCTTTAATTGCACACTATGTACAAAAAGGCGGACTTAATGCAACAAGGCATTCTCTACCAGTCTACCTCCAAGCTAAGCAGAGAAGATATTGTTGGCCAAAGTGTAAGCAGCTAAGTTAAAATATCAACGTCTACATAATATATGCGTAATAATAATCATAACTGCATACTATGTAGTTATGGTTATTATCGTGTTCTGCAGTGGACTGTTACGGGCCAACACGAGAGCAAGAAGTGCATATTTTACGGCATCAATCAAACGTAACGACGACGGCTCAGCAATACAGTGGCTGAGATTTGACTGCCATGCAGAGCTGCGGGTTGGGAACCCGTAAGGAACAAGTATTTGGCCTATAAATAATTGTTCCAGGTCTAAATGTATTTATATATTCTATGACACTTATTTATAAAAAAGTAACACATGCAAATATATATATATATATACATACCTGTTGGTCAAACAACGACCAGAAGATCGGCACTGGAAGATACAGATACAGTATGGACAACACCACCTTCATGTCGGTCACTAACTTCTCGCCATACTCTTCAACTGCATAATCCAGCCAGTGTTCTAAGGGAGGTCCGTCACTGGGATCGTAACTCAAACGTTTTCTTACTGCGTACTAGATGATATAAGTTTATAGGTATATAAGTTGACAATTAAAAATATATACAAACTTCATATTATTGTCATGTTTAATATGGGCCTTGCCGGCGTTTTCCACAAATCATAAGTTTTAATTTAGGTATACATATTATTACCACGTTTTTATTAACTAGCTTTTGTGTATGGATATTCGGGTCGAATTTAGTAATTGATTTTAAACTACTTCCCGATGAACTAGAGACTTGAAATTTGAAAATAGGAATATTGTTGCGCGGCACAATTAATGCCTGGTCAAGGCGACACTAGTTACCACTAGCGCCTTCTAGTATCGAGTAGCAGAACTAGGAGAGTAGAATAGAATAGAATAGAATAGAATAGAATAGAATAGAATAGAATATTTTTTATTCAATATACATTACATGTGTAATTCTTATTGAAAGTCATTTTTTACTTTACCACTGGTTCGAAAAAAACCCTCTGTCCTGGGAAGAACCAGCAATAAACGCAGCGGGACTTTTTTTAAATAAATTTTTACAAATTAAATGATTACGAACTATTTACAAAATTTTTTTTAGAAACTGCTTGGAAGCGACCACCTCATTCCCAGGGGTTATTATCAACCATGTATTCATTTATACTATAATAACCCTTTACATACATACAGTTTCAGCTTAATAAAACATTTAAACTTGGTAATAGAGAGAACCTGTACACTTTCCGGGACCTTGTTGTAATAGCGTATACATTGCCCCAAGAATGAATTACTGGCTCTGTGGAGTCGAGAAACTGGCATCACTAGCTTGTGTTTGTTCCTAGTGTTTACAGAATGTATAACACTTCTTTTTACTAAAACTATCTTTGTTTTTGTGAACATACATTAAATTTTCGTAAATATACTGAGAGGCCAAAGTTAATATATTAATTTCTTTAAATTTATCTCTAAGAGACTCTCTCGGTTTTAGATTGTAAATAACTCTAATGGCCCTCTTCTGTAAAACAAAAATAGTTTCTGAATCAGCCGCATTTCCCCATAGCAAAATCCCATAAGACATTAATGCTATGGAAATAACTAAAATAAACTAATCTAGCTGTCTCGACACTAGTGAGACCTCTAATATTTTTTACAGCATAGGCTGCAGAACTTAGTCTGCTTGCTAATTTGGATATATGGGGGCCCCACTGAAGCTTTGCCTCGAGAGTGATGTCAAGAAAAACAGTGGATACAACAGGGCTCAGTTCCTCCCCATTTAAAAACACATTGGTATTCAGATTTTTAACATTCATTGTTGTAAATTTAACACAATTAGTTTTATTTCCGTTCAAATGCAGATTATTAACGTTAAACCAATGCACTAATTTTGATATAGCATTATTCCCTTCGTCACATTTAAATGATTGACGTTTAAGTTTAAAAATCAAGGAAGTATCATCAGCAAATAATACTATATCATGACTATCCCCTACAAGGTGAGGTAAGTCATTAATATACACCAAAAACAGGAATGGGCCGAGAATCGAGCCCTGAGGAACACCCATTAGTACAGGTGACCCGGAAGAACTTTTACCATTGATAATAACGTTCTGTTTTCTATTACTTAAATATGAAATAATAAGTTTAAGCGCTGTGTTCTTGACACCATAGTACTGTAGCTTCCTAATTAATGTCTCATGGTGAACACAGTCGAAGGCCTTGGAAAGGTCACAAAATATACCCAAAGCATCCTCTGAATTCTCCCATGCACAAGAAATATGTTTAATAAGCTCAACTCCAGCGTCAGTTGTCGAGCGACCCCTTGTAAAACCGATTTGATTTTTATGTAGTAATTTATTAATATTAAAAAAACTTAACATCTGATCTAAAATAATTTTTTCAAAAATTTTACTTAATGTTGGTAGTACAGAAATTGGTCTAAAATTGGCGGGGTCTAATGTACTACCAGATTTAAATAAAGGTATGACTTTACTATGTTTCATTAAATCAGGAAACACACCAGATTCGACGCTTATATTAAATATAGTGGCTAGATAAGGTGCTAATATATCTATTATAGATAAAATAACTTTAACGGAAATCCCCCATAAGTCTGCCGTTTTCTTAACATCAATAGTTTTAAAATATTCAACGATATCTTTTGGCAGTACTCTATGGAATTTAGAAGTATTTGAACAAGCCTTTACATTTTGTTTGAGCAATGATTCGGCGACAGTAGGAGAAGAATTGAATGATTTTGTTGTCAAAAAAGGAACATCAGTAAAATGTTTCTCAAAAGCCATAGCAACTTCTTGGTCAAGATCCTTCTAGAAATTTCCATGGAAGAACTTTCTAGAACTATCGACATCATGTATATATTCGAATATTGGAACCTGCAGCTGTGGCTGGTGCTTTAAGCACCTGCTTAAAGCACCAGCCACACACTTAGTACTGCGCTACCGGGACGACCAATAGTTTACTAATATTTTCTTCAGTCGACTCTCCCAATGGACAAAATAAGTACTTAAAAATTTATGTTTGTTTGTTCGTATTTTATGCGCTGCTATAATATTATCAGATTGAGATGTAACTTTGTCAACTTATTGCTTGCACTTGCGCGAAGGTCATAAGCATAGTACAATTAAGTTACAGTAGGTGGCGCGGACATCGCACCGACAAATTTATTTGAAAGTTATATATAATTAAATTTCAATGAGTTCCTAATTAAACAATAATATATAACTGTTCCAAATTTGAAACGATATTTCCACAATTGTATCTTATGCAATAACAACACGCCGGGTACCAGCTGCCTAGCTGCCAGCCGGTGAACATGTACGAGTATATGTATGTAGGTGCTGGTGTAAATAATTATTTGAATAAGATTTAGGATAAAGTACTTATTTAGTAAAATAAACATGTTTTATTCCAATATATGGGAAAATGCCAGCCCTGAAATTGCAAAAAGCACCAGATGCTAATTGGTAACAAATTGCCTGGGGATCGAATTTTCCCATAAGGGAAAATTTATTGCATCATAGGATGCACTGATAGTTCAGTAAAGGTTTTACAGTTAAAGCAATTAATCCCAGACCTGTAGGCAATTATAAGGCTTTCCCAGCCCACGCCATTTAGCGCGACGGAGGATGTATTTATTTACGATGCTGCGTGAACCAAAGGTACTCTATGCTGTAATACTCTGTTGCTCCGTGCGATAAATACACGCCACAGTATAAATATTTGCAGTAGATTAATTTAATTAAATAATAAAAAATGTAAAAAAACTATAATAATTCAATTGTAACTTTTCTTCTTTGGTAGGATTTCTTTATTTTGTCAGATTTGCATTTTATTATTTAGTAGTTTACTTTTATTATTGCATGAAATGTACATATAATATCACTTTATGGAGGTTATAACCATCAACTAATTTTAATAACAAAGGTAGGTTGTTCCGTTACCGTTTCAGCTTATTAAAGACCACTGCTGAATATAGCCTTCCCCATAAATTGCCTCATAGGAGCGATATTTGCCATAGTTGCCACGCTTGGCAAGCGGGTTGGCAACCGCAGTTATTTATTTTTATTCATCATTAGGGAGACGATGCTGCCCCACTCCTGACTTTTTCCCTCTGTCGCCTCTTACGACACCCATGGGATGATATAGAGTAATGGTTATTCTTACACGGCCCGTTAGGTTGTTCACAGAAATTTGTTTATAAATTTACAACACACACACACAGTAATATAATAAAACAAAAAAAATTGAAGATTCAGAATAAAAGTAAAATTTGCTAAATTTGCAATATTAAAATAAATAAAAACTACGTTTGTTTTCTCGGCGAACCATCTGACATCAACAGAGTATGATATATATCGATCATTAATATACCGTCCGCATCCCAGAAGACAGAGGCCATTAGTTTTCCAAGAGACGCAGACACTTTGAATATCTTGGCTGGTGGGGAAGACTTTGGGTTTTCATCTCCGTGTCAAAATGGTGTACCCACGTTTCATATGCGGTCACGAAAGGAGCGCAACACATGGTCACACGTTACTCTACCTTAACAATTTATTCGACATTTTAACGTTTTCTTGCGTAGCGGCCGTTTTCGGCCGCCCCGAGCGAGTTTCGTATTTCAGGCGGTTCTGCCAATTTTAAATTCAGCGCACCAGTTCCTGTTTCTCCATTTTGCATACGAATCAAATTCCCGCCAAATGTGAATTTTCAAAATTGGATATAGTTTTTAATTTAGCTATTTCTGGCCTACTAAGGAATTTAAGATTCGAAAAAATATAACGTATTATATAACGTATACTATATATATATATATATATATATATATATATATATATATATATATATAACGTATACTATATTTTTTATAGAATAAGGATAACAAACGAGCACACAGTCTACGTGATGGTAAGTGGATGCTGTGACCCATAGACATTTACATTTATCCTCAATTTACCTCTTTTATCCATAATTTTACGTGGTACAGCCATGCTGCAGCTATATTAGTAGTATAATTGTAGCACGAATGGGTTCGGCTCGACCGAGGAAGGACCACGCTCTCACAGAAAACCAGCGTAAAATAGCAGCTTAATACTGCTGTGTTTCATATGATGAGTGTAGAGAACCGGAGAACCTTTTTACTGGCAAAGAGGCATTCCATATTAGTCCTCACGGGTGACAACGCATCTGCATCTTGAGTCTTTATTGAGGATAGATGTAGATGTCTATGGGTTACAGTAACCACTTACCATCAGGTGGACTGTGCGCTCGTTTGTCACCCTATCCTATTGAAAAAAAAATAAAGAATCAAAATGCAGATACGTTGTACCCCTGAGGACTGAGATGGAAAGCCTCGTTTCCAGTAAAAAGTTGTCTCCGGTTCTCTACAATAACCATACGAAACACAGCAGCATTAAGCTGCTATTTTAAGCTGGTATTCTGTAAGAGCGTGGTCCCACCCCAGACGAGCCGACCCATTCGTGCTGCAACAACAAGACAGCTGCCACGTAAAAAAACTCATTGATAAG